TAAATTTAAGAAAGACCGGTATAAATATCTCAGTTCAAACCGAACCCAAACCCTAGCTATCAGCCCCCCGTAGGAGAAAAAGAACCAGTCGTTAGAGAATGGAGCCGACCGCCACCCACCACCACACCGGAGACACATCTGATTGCTGAAAAAGGTAAAAATTCTCCTATTCGCTCGAAATTTAATTTTGAACACCCTCATGACTAAATCAGAGAAAAAAAGTAGTGAATGAGCCGAAAACTGCGGATAAAGTCCGACAATGCCACTGCAGAAAAAATAAAAAATTACCTCCGGTGAGCCCCTTCCTGTTTCCCATTTCGTGCGATTTTTCCACCATTGTGTTCACCACTCTGTTTTCTACAGGTTGACCGAAGAAAAAACCCAACTGCAAAGGTGAACCAGCGAAGCCACCGCACCGAAAAATTCTGTCGCTGGTAAGTTCTTGTTTTTTAATTTTTTCGGCCAATCGAGACCCTCTAATGTATTTTTTCGTAAGGATGAGTATAAAACTGGCCAAAACTGGCAAAAAATGGCCAGTCTGAGACAAATCGCCATCGCAGACAGCGGTGTCGTCACCGGAGCACGGCAGTGCCACCGTGCCGGAATTCTGAATTTAGTCGAAAAAGATTTTTAACATCGATTTTAGATTTTTTGGGGTATTTTTAGGTACGTGAAGTATGTTTTTACCTCCGTAGAAAAATTCATGAAACTCAAGGACTGCGAGTAGGCGTAGTAAAATGTTCAGTATTTCAGATATCGATTCGGGTAAGAATCTCTCACTTATTCTTTGTTATGTAATTGAAGTCTAATTATAAATAATACGGTATTTTGCATAATTTAGAAAACTTCAATAATTAATTACAGGTTACTAATGGAGCCGGAACTGGTTATTTATTATTATTTGTCATGTTTTAACTGATTGTTTAATTTTACAGTTTTAAATGCATGATAATACACTGGAATTGGTAAGATGATTCAGTTGTGTTTCCTTGATACATGTATTGCTTATCTTGCGTGATTTACAGTTAAATTGTGAAATTGAAAATTAAATATAAATGAGACATTGTTTGGTTAAGTGAATTAATGAAACAATTATTTTACTAGATATCATGAGAGATGGTGGACGGATCGGGTACATAGAGAACCCTACCGTGAATGTTACCTCATACTGGACGGGATATCGAGAAATGATATTTTTGGCGCTCATACCGGACAGAGTATGGTGATGGCCTCATTCACCCTCATACCAGATGGGATATTGATGGATAATACCTTTGCACTCATACTAAACGGAATATGGGAACGACCTAATTCACCCTCATATCGGACGACGTATTAAGGGATAGTACTTTTAGCGCTCATACCGGGATGGCCAGTTAGTTGACAAGTTTTGTTATGGGTTCATGCATTGTGGGATATCTCTATGGACCCCTAGGGATACTAGTAAGTAATAAAAGAAAAAGTTATTGTTCTGGCTAATTGAATATAAGATTATGATGTCTATGTTATTGCCTCTATAGGTCGATTTTGAAAATCTCGCTACGGTAGGTATGCAATAAATGATTTTATTTATAATAAATAAATTTACTTAGTTTAAGAGTTCCATTAGTTGTTTTTATGATTTTTAACCAACTTTCATTTCTGTATCGGTGAGTAGTGTGATATTCTTATTGGGCCAGTGTAACTCATCATTTCATTAATCATTTCAGATCAAGAGGACCAAGATCTAGATCTCGATTAATAAGGGAGTTGTGAATAGTTCACCATCCGGATTCCCTTCAAAGACTAGTGAAGGTCGTCCTAAGATACCTAATTATTTACTTTTCATTTATTTCTTAATTTTTCGTTTGTTCTTTTAGAATGATCATTCTCGTATCCTTATTGGGTATTCAAAATTATTGTGTAAGGAATGTAAACCCTAACTCTATTATTTTGCTTCTGCATTCAATTTATATCTTTATCTCCCTTTTAAGTTCCGGGACGTTATAAAATAGCTAATAAATCGATTTTACACAATGTATTATGTGTGCCATATTTTAATTGAATTTAATATATACTAGAAGGTTTAAAGATAGTAAATATTGTCTAATATTCTCACTAAAAACTTGTGTAACACATAACCTTATGACTTGGAAGGCTATTGGAATGGGAAGGTGAAGAATGAATTGTAACAACTTAAGAAACATAAAAGCTCTTTAACCTAGTCTCAGTAAAGTTTATCAAACAGAATACTCATGAATCTTAATCAAGGAAAGGTATTTGATCTCTGGCATTATCGCCTTAGGCATCCCTCGTAGTCTAGGACAAACATTTTATCATAAAACTTGAACAACAAAAGTTATGAATCTATTAATACTTGTCTTTTAGCTAAAGTGAATAAACTCTTTTTGTTTGTTAGGGAATATAGGAGCATTTAGGACCTTACAATAAAATTTCATATGATGGATAAGATATTTCTCTCTATTATGGACAGCTGTAGTAGATGTACATAAGTTTATTTAAATGGTGTCTAAGGCTGAGACTAGCTAAAACCTATAAAATCTTTATACTACAATTGAAACATAGTTCAACAAAGGAATTAAAGTTAATCATAATGAGAATAGTAAGGAGTTTTAAATGAAAATTTTTATATAGAGAAGGAGATTATACACTTGAAGAGTTATGTTGAAACTCTTGAGGAAAATAAAAAAAAAATGGAAAGAAAGCACCATAGATCCTTAATGTTATCAAATTTTATAATAGACTTGAACTTAAATACTTGAATGATTTTATTTTGATAGTGGCATACCTTATAAACATAATGCCTCACTAATCATATATCATAAAACTCTCTCTGAAATGTTGTTTCAAGCCACACCAAAGAATGTACATCTCAGACTGTTTAGATTTTAGCTTTTGCATCCACCTTGGCAGGTCGTGGACATAAATTTAATCCTAGAGCAAGGAAGTCTTTAGGATATCTTTCAGGTGTAAAAAGGTACAAGCTACTTGACCTAGAAATAAACAATATCACCATCTCAAGAAAGGTGGTGTTCTATAAGAATGTGTTTCCTTGTAAAATGAAGGACAATTAGTACAACATCGAGGACCAGAGAGTGATGAAATACAGAAACCGCGCATAGTCATCCTGTAGAAGACATAGGAAAAAAATTTACAATGGTGGCAATGTATTCTGACAAATATAATACGTAGCCTAATCGAGAGGTTGTAGAGATACCCTTACCAACACCGACATTTAAAGGAAGAGATGCCAATGAGATTCTTGCACATAATGAAACACAAGTAACGATGAGAAGGAAGTCACCTAGAATTAAAAGGGTCCCTTCTTACTTAAAGGATTTTGTATATGAGCAAATCAAGACCTAACTCTCTATCTTGAATATTTAGAAGAGGCAGAACTCTTACTAGGCGGTGCAATCTCTATAGATTCCACATTCTTATAGAGCATAATTACATACAAATATAATAAGTATGTGTTGGCTATAAGTAAATAAAGGGAACTCACTTCATATAAAGAGGCTTGTGAGAATGTAAATTAGGTGTAATCATGAAAAATAAAATTAATGCCCTAAGGAAGAACAAGATTTGGAAGGTCATAAACTTGCCACTTAGGAAGAAGCCTATTGGATACAAATGTGCGTACAAACTGAAGTTTAATGCTGATGGGACAATTAAGAGGTATAAAAACCAGACTTGTTGCAAAAGGTTTCACTCAAAAAGAATGTTTGGACTACCATGAGACCTTTTCGCCTGTAGCCAAAATTATGTCTATGATACTATTGTTGTCTTTAGCTGCTGTTAAAGGGTGGTATCTTCATCAATTTGATGTCAGTAATTCATTTCTACGTGG